GTTCACACAAGTCTTCCCATGCTTCTTTGAATTTTTCAAAATTATCATTTCTTATGGCACCATTGAAACTCAGAGAGCAGGTAAGTAACCAGAGGAAAGGAGGAATAAGAAATGATGGTGCTGAGAGGTTTTCAGACCCGAAGGGAACAAACTGAGCGACCCTCTCTGGAAGAGGTTCTCAGTAAAGTAAGAGAAAAGGTCATCTGCTGTTGGAGGAGGTGGCAGGCTAGGGACATGGGAGGGGAGAGAAAGGAGAGAAGAAAAAGTCTGAGAGAGACACTGTGGGGAACGAGGCAGAAGGACGGCTGGGGTCACAGACCATGAATGTGTAGTAAGTAAAATCACTTAGGTTATAACAGGATTGATTGTAGGACCAAAGATTTAGAACAAGAAAGGACCTTGGAAGTCATGTATTCCAATCCCCTCATTTTCTAGATGAGCAAACTGAGGCCAGGAGATGCTCAGTGATTCACCCAAGGCCGCACACATCCAAAATGGCAGAACCAGGATTCAAACACAGTTCCTTGGACACTGTGTCCACTATCTTTTCCCCAGTGACACTCAGGACTCCTGGAGTGTGGGGAGAGAAATCAGACAGTGGAGGTTACTTAGGGATGAAGATAGACAGCTGGGGACAGAAGATGAGGGTGAGGAGCACCGAATTCTCTTAGCACTGCTTTCTCCTATCTGCCTTCTCTAAATCCAATGCAAAGTCCACCAAAGCAACTTGTCTTCTATTGCTGCTACTCTCTCCTATCCCACTCAACGTTGATCCTGGACTTTGCCCTGGGGCAGTCTCCCACTCATGTCCCCACTGGGTATCTCCCACATGGCTGTGATGTTCTATACACCAGCTTCCATAGAGCCCAGACCCACTCAGGGAGAATGTGCCTCAATGAAGTCACAGTTATAATCAGTGGGGTTTGTCTCTTCGCTATAAAGACTCCACATGTACATTTTATCTCTGCCCTGTGCCAACTGTTAACAGATCAAAATCCCAAGCTTTGATTGTGGGGGCAGGGGTGGGGGGAGCTGAGCTGCAATCAATTCTGTTCTAATTCATTATTAACACAGTACTAGAAGGCTCCTTTGAAGTCACAACAGGCAGAGTATGCCGTGGACATGAGAAATCGGTGGAGTTGGGAACTGGTTGGTTGGAAAACCAACTGTTTTCTACGACTTTGTAACCTGTGTGAGTCGTGGGATGCAGGTGGTGAGGTGATGAAACTTTCCATTCCCGAGTCAAGGTTCAGAGAATGAGTTGGGACTTTCCAGGGAATTTTCTGTTCTTAACTCATAGGTTCCTCCTTTGTTAGTGGGGGAACTTTGGGGACTTGGGAATTGAAGAGTATCCAGAAAAGGGTCACCGGGAGGACAAAGCACCTCAAGATCATGCCATGAGAAGTGGGTAAGGGAAGAGAGGAGGTTTAGACTTAAGAAGACAAGACTTAGGGCGAAGATATGATAACTATCTTCCCCTATCTGAAGAGACCTACCATGTCTGCTCTCAGAAAGCAAACTGGGACTTGGCAGAAGCCGAAAGGGGGCAGATTTATGCAAGTGTAATGGGGGAATGGACAATAAGGACCTGTCCTGGAAACATTGATGGGTGCAGGGGAGAGGGGCTGTGCCTGGTGCCAACCCAAGGAGATGTTGGGTGGGACGGGCTTCTGAAAGGTGAGATGATGCAGAATGGAGAGGTCCTGCCTCCGATTCAAGACATGTGCAGATATTCTTTGACATCATTTCTGTTGTCTTGCTACTTAGTAAAGAAAAGTGTTTTGACTGGTTGACGAGCCAGAGCTGAGCATGCCTTAAGAAAGGCATTAACTGGCCAAATCGTTCACTCTCTTTCCTTGTAGTGATCAAGACAAGAACTACTGTGGGTCTCCCTGTGGTAATAAATACCAAAATAACAACTAGCATTTATATACTTCTTCGTGGCTTGCAAAGTGCTTTATAGGTGTTATCTCTTTCGATCCTCACAATGACTACTGGGGTAAAAGCCATTCTACAGGTAAGGAAACTGAGGCTGGGAGGTGAGTTGATTTGCTCAGGCTCACAAAACTCAGTGTCTGTGACAGGATTTGAACTCACATCTTCCTGACTCCAAGCCCAGCATACACTAACCATTGTACCACCTAACATTAGACCCTAAGGCTTGTTCTCCCCTTCCCTTCTGGTAAGTTTGGGGGTCTGTCACAACAGCCCTACCATAGCTCTGAATGCCTGCAGGGCCAGCCCTGCCTATTTGTCTTTTAGTAGTCAGTCACCTTCCTCTTCAGCTTTAATAAGGGCTCCGTGTTCTCCTGCTCCAGGCCAATTTGTGCTGTTTTGGGGCAGAACCAAAAACATCCAACTCTTTTCTTTGCCCAGCAGACTGGCTGCCCACGCCGAGAGGGCGATGGCCTGTGGAAGCTAAGGGAAGACGCACGGAAACTCAAGACTCCGTTCCCCAAGAGGCCCCCGCGGGCTAAGCTTTCCAGCCCCTCACCTCTTCAGACTCTCCAAGGTGGACGGCTGCCTGTGGCGATTTTTCCAGCATAAACTCAGAGTCCTTTAGAAGTGAGAGATGGAATGTTTTGGACTCACCTCGATTTGGCTGGTTCCAAACCAAAACTGAACTGCTGTTTGCTGAGAGCCAGTAGTTTCAAAATGAGGTCCCAAGTCCATCCTTGTGTGAGCCAAGTCTCAGTAAAAAGAGCTCTACATGGGAAGGCAGGAGACCGGGGTTCAAATCCCAGCTTCATCATTTACAAGCTAGGTGGTCATGAACAAGACACTCTCTGAGCCTCAGCTTTGTCCTTGGTAAAAGGGGTGCCTTTCCAGATTTGCTAGAGGAGTCCAGGTCAATTCTGGACCCTGATCATCTACCGTCTAGAAGAATCCAAAGAGATAATTTAAAACATGGAAAAACTCCAACAGGACAAGCCCCAGAAGTTCTGGGGTGATCATAGGGTATCTCAGACCAAACCGGACCTCTATCTCTGGGCACTCTGAACAACAGCCCAAATAGACGCCCCACATGTTCTGAAAATGGTGCCTGGCACAGTGGAAGGGCTTAATCAATGCTTGTTGCCTGCCACAGTTCAGTATCCTTGGGGCCTTTAGGACTGGGAAACTTTCAGGCCTGGGCTGGACTCCTTAAGGAAACATTAGCCTGCTTGGTCTTGAGCTGAAATCAAGGGTTTAGCCAGCACCAAACCAGCCTTGGAAAACACAGAAAGCAAGAATTTCAGTGTTGGAACGGACCTCAGTGACCATTCAGATAGACCCATCCCCAAAATGAAATCCCACTAGAACATACGCAACAAGGGGCCATCGAGCCTGTTCTGAAGACCTCCAAGGAGGGGGAACCCAACCCGTCCTGAGACATCTCTATTCCACTTTTGGATAGTTCTAATTGTTCAGAATTTCTACCCTACCTCCAAGTCTCTCTTTAAGTTCCTCTTAAAACTTAGAGGATCAGAGATTTGGAGCTGGAAGGGACTTTAAGTATTATGTGGTGCAATCCTCCCATTTTACAGACAAAGAAACTGATACTAAGAAAAGATAAGTGACTCATTCAAGGTCACAAAGTAATAGGCATCAGAGGTAGGATTTGAACCCAGGTCCCTAATCTCTAGCACTCCTTCCACGATACCAGGCTATCCAGTACTCTTGGTTCTTTCCTCTGGTCTCAAACAAAACAAGTCTAATATCTGTCTCCCACATTACAGCCTTTCAAATACTGGAAGTCAGCTATCCTATCCTCCCTGGATCTTTTCTTCTCTTCCCCTCATTCCTTCAAGTGATCCCCGGGACCCATAGGATGCTGTGGAAACAGCTCAAGGTCCTTCACCATCCTGGCTGCCCTCTGGTGGATATCCTCCAGATTAGTGGGGTCCTTCATAAACTAGTGTCCTCAGAACTGAGCACCATGCCAGAGGTGTAGTCTGGCGAGGGCAGAGTACGTCGGTACTGTTCCTCCTTACACCTGATTTCTGATTTGGAAATGCTTGGACACGGAAAATTTAGCAACTGGCTCTTGAAAGCCAGTTTGAGCTGGCTCCAACACACCCCTCATGTAGGGGGCAGGTATGACCAGGGCACCTGTGTGGATGGCTAAATCATGCCTCTGACTCTTCAGAAAAACTGATGTCTTCCAGTCACATCTCCCAGTTACTTGCCCTTATTCAACCTATGCCGTCCTCTCCCCTCTACCCCGAGTGGCATCTCCTCTGAATACACTCCTCCACTGGTCCTGCGGTGACTCCTCGGGACTGCCAGGGAGGCGGCCTCATTGGACACTGATCCTCTGGTCTTCTCTAGCCCAATGGTGGCTGCTGGTAGTTTCTGCTGGGCACTGTTCCCTGCCACCAGTTTATGGGATTCATCTCTCCAGTCTACTTGTTTCCTCTCAGTTCTAGGATTCTAGGGTAGTGGCTAGACTAGAACCTCTCCTTGATAAGGGCAGGCTGGTAGTGCTTTGGTCCAGAGTGCCCCAAGGTCAAGAGCAAATCTTTTCTTGTCAAATTCTATATCGCAGTCCTCTGTTCTAGACAATCATTTCACTTGGAGTTAGATATCCCTAGATCTTCGATTCAAATGAAATTTGAACCTGAAGCCAGAATAAAAAATAACCTAAGGAGATAAATAAAAGTCATTATTCTCCATCCACCTAGCCCAAATTCTTGCCTTTCTTACGCGTATCTTTCCTCGGCAAAACTCATGGCATTCATGCCCTATTTTGGACAATGAAAAATCTTTTTCATTTTCATTGTAGTATAAATGTTAAATCACTACATATGATAAATAGAAACGAACCCAAGTCCTGCAATGGGAAGAGGCATAGGGGCAGGACTACTGACCTGGGTCAGAAGACTTGGGTTCAAGTTCCTGCTCCAAGACAATGTGAGCCTGTTTCCTCATCTGTAAAATAGGGATCCACTTGCCTGCTATGTGCATTACACTAGCACCAGAGATAACAAAGACACCCAAACAATGCCTGACTTCAGGGAGCTTATATTTTATTGGGAGATGGGGAGGAATACAGTATTTACACAAGTGTAGAAGTAGAAGATAAATCTATGTAGCTATAAACCTATATCTATATAAAGATATATCTTCTATTTATACACATGTATATGTATGCATGTATGTATATATGTGTGTGTGTGTGTTTATATGAATTAATAAAAAGTAGTTACAAGAGGGGACAGAGTGCTAATAATTGAGGGGATTAGGAAGGCCCCCATGTCCTTCCCTCCTTCCCTTCTAGGGTAGTGGGAAAAGTGCCTTTCAAAGTGGTATACATGTGGGTTATTATTACTGTCTAACTCATCAATGGGATGGCCTTTCTCCCTCCATCTACTGCCATATTTGTTTTGCCAACCTCATGCCCTAGACTCAGGTGATTGACTGGCTATTTAGCCTGAACAAGAAAAGACTTTGAAGGGCTGTAATAGCTTCCTTCAAGCATTTAAAAAGATGCCCTGTGGAAGAGGGACGGGGGTTGCTCTGCTTGGCACCAGATGACAGAAACAGGAGCAGGGGGTTGGAGAAGTCTCTGAAAGGTAGATTTTAGCTTGACATTAGGAAGAACTTGCTAACCCGAGACAACTTTCCCCCCTATTGGAGGTATTCTATCCAGTGCCTTATGACCCCTTATTGGGGATATAAGGGAGGGGATTCAATTCTGCAATTCAGTGATTTTATGGTTCTAAATGTATCTTATACTTCTGTAATCCCCAGGAAGACCAGGATTCAAATCCAGCCTCCAATATTTACTAGAAATGTGAATATAGGTAATTCATTTTACCCTCTAAGCCTCAGTATCTTAATCTGCCCAGTGGGGATAATAATAGCATTTACTTCATGGGATTGGTGTAAGGACCAGTGAAAAAAATGTAAATTGTTTTGAAAATCTTAAAGCACTAAGTCTTAGAATAAAGTGTGTGCCCATAAATCAGGGGATGGCTAAAGAAACTATGATATATGAAAGCAATGGAATATTTTCATGCAGCAGGAAATGCCAAATAAGAGGAATTCGGAGGAACCTAGAAGGATTTGCATGAACTGATGCAGGGTGAGATAAGCAGGCCCAACAGAACAGTCTACACAGTGACTCTAACAACATAAATGAAAAAGAAGCCAAACTCTGTGTAATTGGAAAACATCCTGAGAATGACCCCAGAGGACAAATCATGGGACGTAACTCTACTTTCTGCAGAAATGTGGGGACTACAAGGGCAAACTGTTGTCCGTCATGGTCACTGGAGTCACTGTTTCTGTTCGACTGTTTTTCTTCATTACAAGGCAGGGCTGCAGGGGGAGGAGGAGTTGGCAATATCCAGAAATGAATGGGGTGTAAAAGCAAAGGCATCAATAAAACTTTTTTGGTTGATTGCCATGGATATAGTGGGGCAGAGCTTATCATGGTGGACCCCAATATGCACACATGTACATACACAAAGTACTTGGGAAAGTCTCAAGTCCTAAGTATGCAGTTAAGCAGTTACCCCTATCTCCTGGGGATGCTGCAGGCTTTCTATAATGGGAGGGGGGTCACCCCTATCTCCTGGGGATGCTGCAGGCTTTCTATAATGGGAGGGGGGTCACCCCTATCTCCTGGGGATGCTGCAGGCTTTCTATAATGGGAGTGGGGAGGAGGGAAGCATGGGGGACAGCAGCAAGGAAAAACTTCCTCTGTAAGTCCTGGAAGGAAGAGAAATCCGTTCTAGAAAGAGATTGTAATCTGGATTCCTGAGTTGTTCTTGTTTTGATCTGGTCTTGGCAGAGTCCCCGCTTTCATTTTCTCCACAAGTCAGGCTCTGCAGAGTTGGGATAGGCCAAGGAACAGTGAGGGCATTAGGACCGAGAGAAAGACACCCACTTTGCTCTGTATTATGTCTGGCAAAAGGCTCCCTGACTGAGTGCTGGAGTTCTGTGTGAAAGAAAGTCAGGGGCTGACTCGTTTACATCTGTTGATCTGACCTGCCTTGAAGCATCAAAACAGGGAACTGCGGCTGTCAAAGCTATTTGGGAGAAGGCCCACCCAGCTCACCCCAGGCATCTATTAGAAACTTGGCCAGGGCAGGAAAACACAGTGGAAGAAGCAATTGAGAAAGATGGACTGATATTTTTAAAAATTACTTGCAAGATAAAGAAAAGGGGCAAACGTGGTGTGGGTGTGCAGGGAAACCTAAGCTTAGGTCAGCCCCAGGGGGCTTACGGGCAGTTAACACAACTACTTTGCAGAGGAGGGAAGGGTTCAAGGGCGGGTCCAACGAGAGCCGAGTCATCTGCAGCAGGCAGGTACTACAGACTGTCGGCAGATGCTGGAGGGAGGCGTGAGACTACGTTAAGTGACAGGCACGTGTCTCGTGGGAGGGGACCCCCGGAAGCTGCTCCGCTGGAAGCCACCTGACCTGGGGGCCACTTAAGCGAGGGTCTGGCAGACCTCTGAGAGAGGACGAACATGAGCTGCTGCACTGGGGGCCCTTGTGCACCATGCTCCTAAGGAGGAGGTCCGGAGCTGGGCCCCGCAAGCTGCAGTTTCTGGTGGTGGTGTTGATGCTGGGATGCTCACTGGTGATGGTGACCGTGCTGCACCCGCCACCTCAGGACCTCTTCGGGGATCCCTCGGCCCAGGCTGAGAAGCCCAGCCCCCAAGTGGGGTATCAGGCGGACTTTGGCAAACCCCAGGACTGGGTGCTGGAGACTGAGGAAGAGAGTCAGGAGTATTACCCCCTGGAGGGCCTGGCCCCCTTCATCTCCTTGAAAGAGGATGAGCTCCTGATGGCCGTGGCCTCCCCGAGGGGCAGCAGGAAGCAGAGCCAGAGCAGGGGGAGAGGAGGCTACCGGCTGGTGAAGCGGCAGGGCAGGAGGCTGGAGGAGGGAGCCCTGGACAGAGCCGCCTTGCACCGGGGGGCCGAGCTGGAGGGCCTCTCCCTACCGGACTCTGATGCAGATGACGGGGAAGAGCGGCTGGATACGCTGGGACTGGACGCCTACGGCTTCAATGAGGCCCTGAGCCAGCAGATCTCTCTGCGCAGGGAGCTGCCTGAGGTCCGCAATCCTCTGTAAGTAAGTCTCTGCGTCCCTCTCCTGCCCCCTGCCCTCCCTGCTCCGAAAAAGAGGGCATCCCTTCAGGATTCTCTCCACCCCTTTCATCCCTCCCCTCTGGGGGACTTGTTATCTCTAGCCAACCCTGAGCTATCCTCTCTCTACCTCTGCTCCTCCTTCTTCCCACTGACTCTGGGAGGCAAGGGCTGGAAGGGACCAGCCAGTCCAACCCCGTGTCTGACAGATGGGCAAACTGAGGCCAGCAGTCTGAACGGCAGAGCCCGAGCTTGAGCGCAGGTCCAGTGGCTTTAAATCTGGTGCCCTTTTTACACTATCCTAGACCGGGCTTGTGGGAGGCTGACGCACTGAAGCAAGGCTCCTTTATCCACCCCTGCTGTCCACGCAGAGCAGAAAATGCTGTTTGCACCAGGCTTGCTTCAGGTGTTAAAGCCTTGCCCATGCTGGGCAGCTGAACATACAGAAGAGGCTGGGTTGGGAATGAGAAGCCCTGTCTTCCTTCTGGTTCCTAAGGAAGAACACGAGCATCCCGGGTTCTGATTCCAGTTGACCCCAACAGAGCATACGTCTTTGTATGGGTCTCTTTGCTCAGCTATAAAAGCAGGGGCTTGGATTTGGTGATTTCTAAGATTCCCCTCCCGCCCAGGAAGTTCTATGATTCTAGGAACTGAATAAATTTTGCTCTTACTGTTGTTAGTTGAGATGATTTTTTGATGGAGTGGGAGTCATAGAAGATAGAATGCCAGATTTGAAGATGGGGAGCTGGGTTCTGATCTTGCCTCTTACTGCTTACTAGCCATGCGACCATGGAGAAATTACCTCAGTTACCTCATTGGTAAAATGGGGAAAACGAAATGTGCACTATCCCCCTCACTGGACTGTTGTAAAGCTGAAATGAGATAGCAAATAAAAAAAAGACTTTGTAGATTGAAAGGTAAGAAGGAACATGGCATGATCAAAGGCAGAAAGTCTTCTTTCTGGTGCATACTTTACTATGTGACCATGGTCAGGGACTCAGAAAATCCTTTAAGCAAATGAGCTGCCAATCAGACCAGGATGGAGAGTTTCCACACTGGGAGTTCCCCCCACACTGATGAAATCACAAGTCTGGATGAAAAACAAAGTGCTACATAAATACCAGATGTCATTGAGAAAGACGGAATAATAATTTTTATTACTCATTATTGATCCAAAGTATCAAAAAAATGGCAGTCACATTCCAAGGACACTCAGTGATGGAGCGCTTGCCAGACCTGAGTGACTCAGGAGCCTGACAACATTCCCAAGAGGTAAGCTGTGAGGACGGCGGGCCAAACCCAAGCTGTTCCAGGCCCAGAGAAGCGGCCCTGCTTTGTCCAACTGGCTCTGGGGGGGCGGAAGTAAGGCAGGCAGAGATAATGACCCTAGACTTGGAGACTTCAAGTACACTCTATCTATCTGTCATCTATCTACCTATCTATCTATCTATCTATCTATCTACCTATCTATCTACCTATCACCCATCCATCTACCTATCTATCATCTATCCATTTATCTATGTCATCTATCTACCTATCATCTTTCTATCTACCTACCTATCATTTATCTAACTTTTTATCATGTATTTCTACCTTCCCTTATATAATATAATTAATCCAGAATCAAGAGCACTCTGAAGAGTACAAAGCAATGTTCTGACTGAGAAACTCCGCAGCAAGCCTCAAGTTTCCTGCTTGGCTGCTAACTAGCTGTGGGGCCTCAGGCAGTCATGTCATCTATTAAGCCTTGGTTTCCTTGCCTATAAAATGGGGGGGTTGAACTAGATGACCTCCAAGGCCTCTCTGGATTTCCTGGAGTCAGAAAGACCTGAATTCAAATCCAGCTTCAGACACTTACTAGCTGTGTGACCCTGGCCAAGTCACAACCTTTGTCTATCTGTTTCCTCATCTGTAAAACGGGGATAATAATAGCAATTATTTTGCAAGGCTGATGTGAGGATCAAATAAGATATTTGTAAACAGTGCTTAGCACAATGCCTGGCACATAGTAGGTGCTACAGAAATACTTGTTCCCTTCCCTTTCCCACCTCCCTTTGAGTAATCAATCTATGCTCATCTGATCCTTTAAGTTACACTTGTCCTTGAAGCCAAGCTAGAGTTTTCCAGAGGGCTCCAGGGCATTATTGTGGGGAAACCAACTCATCATTTTGTGTTGCATTGTGTGTGTGTGTGTGTGTGTGTGTGTGTGTGTGTAAGAGACAGACAGATGGAGGAGAGAGAGACAAAGAGATATAGAAAGAGAGAGAGGAGAAAGAAAGGAAGGAGAGAGACAGGAGAGACAGAGAGGAGAGAGAGACAAAGAGAGGAGAGATAGAAGGAAGACAGAAGAGAGAGGGGAGAGGGAAATGGAGAGAGAGCAGGAGAGGAGGGAAGAGAAAGAGAGGAGGGAGGAGAGGGAAAGAGGGAAGGAGGAAGAGAGAGAGACGGAGAGGGAGAGAGGGGGAAAGAGAGGGAGAGGGAGAGAGGGAGAGACAGAGAGAAGGAGAGGGAGAGAAGGGGAGGGAGAGGGAGGGAGAGGAAGAGAGGGGGAGAGAGAGACAGAAAGACAGAGAGAGAGAGACAGGGAGAGGGAGAGGGAGAGAGAGACAGAGAGAAGGAGAGGGAGAGAGAGAGAAGGGGAGGGAGAGGGAGAGAGGGGAGAGGGGGAGGGAGAGAGAGACAGAAAGACAGAGAGAGAGAGAGACAGGGAGAGGGAGAGAGGGGGAAAGGGAGGGAGAGGAGAGAGAGAGAGAGGCAGAGAGAAGGAGAGGGAGAGGGAGAGAAGGGGAGGGAGAGGGAGAGAGGGGAGAGAGGGGGAGGGAGAGAGAGACAGAAAGACAGAGAGAGAGAGAGACAGGGAGAGGGAGAGAGGGGAAAGGGAGGGAGAGGGAGAGAGGGGAAAGGGAGGGAGAGGGAGAGAAGAGAGAGACAGAGAGAAGGAGAGGGAGAGGGAGAGGGAGAGAAGGGAGGAAGGGAGAGAGGGAGAGAGAGGGAGAGGGAGAGAGTGACAGAGAGAAGGAGAGGAGAGGGAGAGAGGGGGAAGAGAGGGAGAGGGAGAGGGAGAGAAGGAGGGAGAGGGAGAGAGGGAGAGAGAGGAGAGGGAGAGAGAGACAGAGAGAAGGAGAAGAGAGGAGAGAGGAGAGAAGGGAGGAGAGAGGGGAGAGAGAGAGACAGAAAGACAGAGAGAGAGACAGGGAGAGGGAGAGAGGGGGAAAGGGAGGGAGAGGGAGAGAGAGAGAGACAGAGAGAAGGAGAGGGAGAGGAGAAGGAGAGGGAGAGAGAGAAGGAGGAGAGAGAGAGGGGAGAGGGGGAGGGAGAGAGACAGAAAGACAGAGAGAGAGAGAGAGACAGGGAGAGGGAGAGGGGGGAAAAGGAGGAGAGGGAGAGAGAGAGAGAGAGAAGAGAGAGGAGGGAGAGAAGGGGAGAGAGGGGGAGAGAGAGGGAGAGGAGAGAAGGGAGGAGAGGAGAGAAGGGAGGGAGAGGGAGAGAGGGGAGAGAGAGGGAGAGGAGAGAGAGACAGAGAGAAGGAGAAGGAGAGAGAGGGAGAGAAGGGGAGGAGAGGGAGAGAGGGGAGAGAGGGGAGGAGAGAGAGACAGAAAGACAGAGAGAGAGAGAGAGAGAGACAGGGAGAGGAGAGGGGAAAAGGAGGGAGAGAGAAGAGAGAGAGAAGAGAGGAGAGGGAGAGAAGGGAGAGAGGGAGAGAGAGGGAGAGGGAGAGAGTGACAGAGAGAAGGAGAGGAGGAGAGAGAGGGGGAAAGAGAGAGGGAGAGGGAGAGAAGGGGAGGGAGAGGGAGAGAAGGGAGGGAGAGGGAGAGAGGGGAGAGAGAGGAGAGAGAGAGAGACAGAGAGAAGGAGAAGGAGAGGGAGAGGGAGAGAAGGGGAGGGAGAGAGGGGGAGAGAGAGAGACAGAAAGACAGAGAGAGAGAGAGAGAGAGAGAGAGAGAGAGAGAGAGAGAGAGAGGGAGAGAGAGAGACAGAGAGAAGGAGAGGGAGAGAGGGGGAGAAGGTGAGAGAGGGGGAAAGAGAGACAGAGAGAGAAAGAGAGAGGGAGACAGAGACAGAGACAGAGACACAGAGAGAGACAGAGAGACAGAGAGAGGAAGAAGGAGAGGAAGAGGGAGAGGGAGAAAGGGGGAGAGAGAGAGAGAGAGACAGAGAGATAGACAGAGAGACAGAGAGAGGGAGAAGCAGAGGGACAGGGAGAGGGAGAGAGGGGGAGAGAGGGAGGAAGAGGGAGAGAGAGGAAGAGAGGGAGAGGGACAGAAGACAGAGAAAGAGAGAGACAGAGAGACAGAGAGGGAGATCTATCCCCAGGAAGGAGAAACCCAAGGCAGAGTTTTCTTGGGGCCGACAGTAACTCTTGCCCATCCATAGTGGTTGCAGAAAGACTCCTGTCTGAACTGGGCTGTGAACTGGGGGTGGGCTCGGGGGTCTGGGAATATTTTTCCGTAGTCCTCAGTCCTTAGTACTGCATCCCCTGCAGACAGGACTGGCCACTTTCCCCACAAGTGATCTGCTCACTTAGCCAGGAAGGCTGAAGGCCCCTGGTCATTTCCCAAGGTTTGTGGTGCCCCCTGCTGGCATAAGGATGTAAAAAAGGACAACTGAGCAGTCCCCAACCCCTAGGAAGGAGATCAAGGTCAGGCAGCGTTGAAAGCCACTGGACAGGCCAAAGGGCCAACACAGGGAGGGGTGGAGGAGGCAGGGGAGAAGTGCAATAGGAGCAACACTTCTTTTTTTAATACAAGCCTTAAAATAACTATTAAATTTAAATGTTTATATATTTAATATCAGGAAATAACTCTCTCCAAGAGCAATCAGGTGTTTTGTGATTAATCTATAGATTGGCAGACATTTACCATGTGCCTACTATGTTTCCAGTACTATGCTAGACACCAAGGATTCAAATCAATCAACAGGCATTTATGAAGCACCTACTATGTGCTAGTCACTGCCAAATTCTGAGAATACAGAGACCAAAA